ATGCTCTCTCAGGTAAAATACCGAAATTCTAATTTTCTGCAAATCAAAAAAAATCTAAATAATATCTAGGCACCCCAAAGTAAAAGAAAATGGCTCTGAATAGAGTCTCTTAGAAAAAATATACAATAACTTATTCTACTCTGTTTTGGAGTATATACACCAACTCAGTATGCTCTCTCATGTAAACACAGAAATTCTAATTTTACGCGAATCGAAAAAATCTAAATATATCTAGGCACCCCAGTGTTAAAAGCAGAATTGCTCTGAATATAATCTGTTAGAAAAAATATACAATGTTTTATTCTACTCTGTTTTTGAATATATACACCAACTCAGTATTCTTTATCGTGTAAAATACAGAAATTCTAATTTTACCCGAATCGATAAAATCTAAATATCATGTAGGCACCCCAATGTTAAAACAAAATTGCTCTGAATAGAATCTGTCAGATAAAATATACAATGGCCTAATCTACTCTGTTTTCGAGTATATACACCACTCCATATGATCTCTCATGTAAAATACAGAAATTCTATATTTAAGCAAATCAAAAAAACCTGAATATTATCTAGGCACCCAATGTAAAAGCAGAATGGCTCTTAAATAATCTGTCAGAAAAAATATACAATGCGCTTTTCTACTCTGTTTTGTAGAATATACACCAACTCAATATGCTCTCTCATATAAAATACCGAAATCTTAATTTTACGCAAATTGAAAAAAATCTAAATAATATCTAGGCTTTGCAAAGTTAAAAGAAAATGGCTCTTAATATAGTCTGTTAGGAAAGATATACAATGCCCTTATTCTACTCTGTTTTGGAGTATATACACCAACTCAGTATGCTCAATCATGTAAAATACCGAAAATTCTAATTTTCCGCGAATCGAAAAATATCTAAATATTATCTAGGCACCCCAATGTTAAAAGAAGAATTGCTCTGAATATAATCTGTCAGAAAAAATATACAATGCCCTATTCTACTCTGTTTGGAGTATAAACCAACTACATATGCTGTCTAAAGTAAAATACTGAAATTCTATATTTAGCGAAACGAAAAAAATCTAAATGTTATCTAGGCACCCCAATGTTAAAGGCAAAATTGCTCTGAATATAATCTGTCAGAAAAAATATACAATGCCCTCTTCTACTTTATTTTGTTGTTATACACCAACTCAATATACTCTCTCATGTAAAATACCGAAATTCTAATTTTACGCAAAACGAAAATAATCTAAATAATATCTAGGCTCCGCAAATTTAAAAGAAAATGGCTCTGAATATAGTCTGTTAGAAAAAATATACAATGCCTTATTCTACTCTGTTTTGGCGTATATACACCAACTCAATATGCTCTCTCATGTAAAATACCGAAATTGTAATTTTACGAGAATCGAAATAAATCTAAATAATATCTAGACGCCCCAAAGTTTAAAGCAATATTGCTCTGAATATAATCTGTCAGAAAAAATATACAATGCCCTTTTCTACTTGGTTTTTGGTGTATATACACCAACTCAGTATGCTCTCTCATGTAAAATACCGAAATCCAAACATTACTCTAAGTATCTCATTAATTGCACAAGACCCCCGTGATGTTGTTTTTAATAACTAGGGGATTACAGATGACATTACTCACGATATGACTGCAGCTGTTTGCCGGTCCTGTGATAATGTTTCTAATATCCAGAGAAGGAGAGGAGAATGTTTCTGCCCATAGGCAAATCCTCTGAATACGGCAAGAGGAGTACACCGTGCTGTGGTATGGTCACTAATGTAAACAAGAAAACAATTATATTGAATTAAATATTGCAAGGTGTTAACCCCCCCTATAATTTTTTTCTAATTTCAAGTGGGTGAGGAGGACATTTTTGTCAAAATGGCGGAGGTGTAACTACAGCTATTGCCTACTATATAATAAAAAAGGATAAAATTATTATTTACATATGATATGATTGCCAGTATCATATTACACCACATTTTCAAAATATCTGGGCCCCCAGCAGCTGTGGGCATGGCAGCCAAGCGAGGGTGTCCCTATGCAACCAGGTTGGGCATTGGGGCTGCTACGGGCCCTTTGTGGTTTGTCTGGGGGCTGCTACGGGCCCTCTGGCGGTGGCTGTGGTAACAGCCACATAGCCAGAGGGTCTCTCAGCATCCAGGGAGGGCCTGGCGGCTGCTACTGACACTCTGGCAGGGGCTATGGGCACAGCCACCTAACCAGGGGTCCCTACGTAGCCAGGGTGGAGCTGGAAGCTGCTATAGGCCCTTTGGCGGAGGTGTGGGGATACCCTGCTCTTCACAGGTACACAGTTTGCACCTATTTCTACATGTGTAGATGGTTTACATAATGGGCACATATTTGTACACATGTACATATGTTACTATCACAATAAACATATATGTACATAATATGTGTACAATAAATATGTACTTTATACGTACCTAATATAAACAATATGTACTTTTTGGTGATATTATGTGATATCTACATATTATTGATTATATATCTTATTGTGATAATATGTATGTTACCACTGAAATTTTTAGAAATGTACATAGAGTACACTTTATGTACCTATGCATTGTGTACACATTATAGAAATAAATAGGTACATATTTTACAGATTAGGTACATTTTTTCTACATGTGTATTTTGTACACATATGTACAGCAGAGTAAATGTACAGACTATACCTATTTTATACATTTATTGTGATATGTCAATAAATGTACACATGAGTACATTCTGGGATATAATTTTTAGCATATTAGATAGGAATTACACCGGTGACCAAAGTGGGTTTACACCCAGGTGCGCACATAGTTTATACATGTACATGTTGTGCATAGTATGTACTCATGTACAGAATGTACATGTCTACATTATATATACATAGGTGTACGCAGCATACATAGGTACATACTGTGCACACATATGTACACGTGCATATATTGTACATCTGTACATAATGGGTACATGATGTACATGTGTACACACATCATATCACAATAAATGTAAATATACATAATGTTTGCAATATGTACGTTTATATTATGTATTACATTTATTGTGATTATATATGCTGTTGTGATATGATATCATTGTGACATTACAAATGTACATATTATACACATTATGTACCTATGCATTGTGCACAGATTATAGAAATAGAAAGAAACATATTTTACAGGTTATGTACATTTTATTTACTTGTGTATTGGGTACACAGAGTAAATGTACAGATCTTACTTACTTTATACATTTATTGTGATATATGCCAATAAATGTACACATTATGAGTACATTCTGTGATATTACATTTAGAATATAAGATAGAAATTACTCTGGTTACCAAAGTGGGTGTAAACTTATGTGTGCACATACTTTGTACATGTACATACTGTGCATATTACGTACTTGTGTACAGAAGGTAAATATCTACATTATATGTATGTATGGGTACAGAGCGTACATATGTACATACTATGTACATATATCTACACCTGAATTTATTGTACATCCGTACATAATGGGTCCATGCTGTACATGTAAACACATCGTCATACCACAATAAATGGAAATGTACATAATGTGTGAAATACGTACATTTATATTATGTATTACATGTGTATTGTGATTGTATATGCTGTTCTGATATCATTGTGATATTACAAATGTACATATTGTACACATTATGGACATACCTATTGTGTACATATTATGTACACATAAATGTACATATTGTACAGATTATGTATATTTATTGTACATCTGTATGGTGCACACATATGTACATCACAGTCAACGTACATATGGTACATATTCTGTGCATTGTTTGTAATATTTCAGTAAGAGTACACATTATAAGTATATTCTGGGATATGATTTTTAGTATGTTAGATAAAAATTACTTTCAATATCAAAGTGGGTATACACTTATGTGTGTCCATTTTGTGATATTATCCATCATATCCTGAGTAGGTATTTCTCTCATTGAAAGCAGGTTTACACTCTCGGATTGCTCCAATATCAAGGCAAACTAAAACTCGTCTGTGATGTAGTTAATAATATCCTGAGGACAAAGGATGACCATACCCTGAATATCGCAGGAAGTGTACACCACCACTGTAGTATTGTTTCTAATGTTCAAAAACGGAAAGGATATTACTCCAAATATCTCAGAAAGCACACAAGCCCCCCGTGATATTGTTTCTAATAACTAGAGAATTACAGATGACATTACCCACGACGTGACTGGGGTTGTACTCTGGTCCTGGAATATTGTTCCTAATATCCAGAGAAGGAGAGGAAAATGTTACTGCCCATAGGGAAATACTCTTAATACGGCAAGAGGTGTACACCATGCTTTGATATGGTCACTAATGTAAGCGAAGAAAACAATTAGATTGAATTAAGCATTGCAAGAATGAAACTCCCCTATGATTTTCATTCTAATGTCAATGGGGGTGAGGATGACATTTTTGTCAATATGGGAGGTGTAACTGGAGCTATTGCCTAATATACAAAAAAACAGAATAAGATTATCATTTTTATATAATATGGTTGCCAGTATCATATTACACCGGATTTGCAAAATAGCTGGGCCTCAGCAGCTGTGGGCAGAGCCCACAAGCGAGGGGACCCCTAAGCAGCCAGGGTGGGCCTGGGGGCTGCTCTGGGCTTTTTGGTGGGGTCTGTGAGCACATCGACCCAGCCAGGGGTCCCTGAGCAGCCATGGTTGGCCTGGGGGCCGCTACGGGCACTCTGGCATGGGCTGTGGGCACAGACACCTAGTCAGGGGGTCCCTAAGCAGCCAGGGTGGGCATGGGGGCTGCTACAGGCATTCGAGCAGTGTTTGTGGGCACAGCCCAATTGCCAGGGGGTCTCTAAGCAGCCAGGCTGGGCCTGGGGGCTGCTATAAGGGGGGCTTTGGTAATAGCGTGCTGTGCATCGGTACATAGTTTGCACCTATTACTACATGTGTAAATAGTAATATCGGGTATATATATGTACATGCATACATATGGTGTTATCACGATAAATTTATATTTACATAATATGTGCAAAATACATATGTACCTAATGCATACCTAATGTGTACAATATGTACTTTTTTGTAATATTAGACAATATATATTACTGTGATTATATATCTTATTGTGATTAAATATATTTTATCACTAATATTTTAAGGAATGTGCATAGTGTACACATTATATACCTATGTATTCTGTACACAATATAGAAATATATAGGTACATATTTTACAGATTATGTACACTTTTTCTACATGTGTATTGTGTACACCTATGCACAGCAGAGTAAATGTACAGACTGTACCTATTTTATACATTTCTTGTGATATGCCAATAAATGTACACATTATGAGTACATTCTAAAATATAATTTTTACCATATTAGAAATTACTCCATTGACCAAAGTGGGTGTACACCCAGGTGTGTACATAGTTTATACGTGTACATATTGATATTAGGTACTCATGTACAAAATGTACATGTCAACATTATATGTATTTATGTGTACATAGTGTGCACATGCACATACTGTTCACACATATGTACATGTGCATATTTTGTACATGTGTACATAATGGGTACATGATGTGCATGTGTACACACCGTGATACCACAATAAATGTAAATGTACACGATGTGTGCAATATGTACATTTATATTATGTATTACTTGTGTATTGTGATTTTATATGCTGTTGTGATTATATGATATCATTGTAATATTACAATAAATGTACATATTGCACACATTTCGTACATACCTATTGTGTACACATTATGTACCTGTAATTGCACATATTGTACAGATTATGTACGTTTTTGGTACATCTGTATTGTGTACACATATGTACATAACACTCTATGTACATATGGTATGTATTCTGCACATTGATTGTAACATCTCAATAAGTGTACACATTATGAGTATATTGTGATATATGATTTTTAGTATTAGATAAAAATTTCTTTCTATATCAAAGTGGGTATACACCCATGTGTGTCCATTTTTTGATATTATCCATCATATTTTAAGTAGGTATTACTCTCATTTTGAAAGCAAGTGTTCACTCTGTGATTGTTCCAATATCACAGGCAAAGTACAAGGCTTCTTTAATGTACTACCTAATATCCTGGGGACAAAAGATTATTATACCCTGAATATCGCAGGAAGTGTACACCACCACTGTAGTATCGTGTCTAATATCCAAAAACGGAAAAGATATTACTCCAAGTATCTGATAAAGCACACAAGACCCCCGTGATATTTTTTCTAATAACTAAGGGATTACAGATGACATTACTCACGATATGACTGGGGCTGTCCGCCGGTCCTGTGATATTGTTCCTAATATCCAGAGAACGAGAGAATAATGTTGCTGCCCATAGGCAAATCCTCTGAATACGGCAAGAGGAGTACACTGTGCTCTGATATGGTCACTAATGTAAAAAAACAATTTTATTGAATTTAACATTGCAAGGGGTGAAACCCCCTTATGATTTCAATTCTAATGTCCAGGGGTGTGAGGATGACATTTTTGTCAATATGGCAGAGGTGTAACTAGAACTATTGCCTAGTATATCAAAAACCAGAATAACATCATTTCCATATGATATGGTCGACAGCATCATATTACACCACATTTTCAAAATAGCCGGGCACAGCGCCCTAGCCGGGGGGTCCCTAAGCAGCCAGCGTCAGCCTGGGAGCTGTTACGGGCCCTCTGGCGGGGAATGTGGTTACAGCTCCCTAGCCAGGGGGTCTTTAAGCAGCCAGGGTGGGCCTTGGGGCTGCTACGAGGGGGGCTGTGGTAATAGCCTGTTCTGCACAGGTACATAGTTTTATTTTATTTATTTATTTTTATTTTTTTTTGAGACGGAGTTTCGCTCTTGTTACCCAGGCTGGAGTGCAATGGCGCGATCTCGGCTCACCGCAACCTCCGCCTCAGGCAATTCTCCTGCCTCAGCCTCCCGAGTAGCTGGGATTACAGGCACGCGCCACCATGCCCAGCTAATTTTTTGTATCTTTAGTAGAGACGGGGTTTCACCATGTTGACCAGGATGGTCTCGATCTCCTGACCTCGTGATCCACCCGCCTCGGCCTCCCAAAGTGCTGGGATTACAGGCTTGAGCCACCGCGCCCGGCCTAGGTACATAGTTTTAATAATGAACACATATTTGTATAAGTGTACACATGGTGTTATGATAAATATATATGTACATATGTGCACAATACATATAGACCTAATGCGTATCTACTGTGTACAATATGTACTTTTTTGTGATATTACATGATATATATATATTACTGTGATTATATGCGTTATTTTGATTATATATATTTTATCACTGATATTTTAAGGAATGTGCATAGTGTACACATTATGTACCTATACATTGTTTACACATTATAGAAATATGTAGGTACATATTTTACAGTACATTTTTTGTACATGTGCATTGTGTACACATATGTACAGCAGGGTAAATGTACAGATTGTACCTATTTTATACATTTATTGCAATATGCCAATAAATGTACACACTATTACTACATTCTGAATTATTATATTTTGTATATTAGATAGAAATTTCTCCGGTTACCAAAGTGGTTGTACACCCAGGTGTGTACATCGTTTATATGTGTACATATTGTGCATAGAATGTACTCGGGTACAGAAGGTACATATCTACATTATATGTACACATGTGTAGTGTACATATGTACATACTGTACCCACATATGTACACTTGCATATATTGTGCATCTGTACATAATGGGTACATGATGTACATGTTCACATATCATATCACAATAAATGTAAATGTACATCTTGTTTGCAACATGTACATTTATATTGATATTACATATTACATGTGTATTGTGATTTTATATGCAGTTGTGATTATATAACATTGTGATATTACAATAAATGTATATTGTACACATTATGTGCATACCTATTGTGTGCACATTTTGTACATATATTCGTACAAATGATACAGTTTATGTACATTTATTGTACATCTGTATTGTGTACATGTGTGTACATCACAGTCAATGTACATATGTTACATATTCTGTACATTGAGTGTAATATCCCAATAAGTCTACACATTATGAGTTTTTTCCGGGTTATGACTTTTAGTATATTAGATAAAAATGACCTCCAATATCACAGTGGGTATATACCCATGTGTGTCCATTTTGTGATATTATCCATCATATCCTAAGTAGGTATTTCTCTCACAATGAAAGAAGGTGTACACTCTGTGATTGTTCCAATATTATAGGCAAAGTGCAACGCTTCTGCGATGTAGTTCCTAATATCCCAGGGACAGAGGATGAGTATACTCTTAATATCGCAGGAAGTGTACACCACCACTGTAGTATTGTTTCTAATATCCAGAAACTAAAAGGATATTACTCCAAATATCTCTCCAAAAGCACACGAGACCCCCGTTACATTGTTCTTAATAACTAGGGGATTACAGATGACATTGCTCACGATGTGACTGGCGCTGTAAGCCGGTCCTGTGATATTCTTCCTAATATCCAGATAAGGAGAGAAAAATGTTGCTGCCCATAGAGAAATATTCTGAATAGTGCAAGAGATGTACACCGTGCTCTGATATGGTCACTAATGTAAACAAGAAAACAATTATATTGAATTAAACATTGCAAGGGGTGAAACCCTCCTATGCTTTCAATTCTAATGTCAATGGGGTGAGGATGACATTTTTGTCAATATGCCAAATGTGTAACTAGAACTATTGCCTAATATGTAAAGAACCACAATAACATTATCATTTCTGTGTGATAGGTTGCCAGTATCATATTACACCACATTTTCAAAATAGCCGGGCCCCAGCAGCTGTACCCACAGCCCCCTAGCCAGGGGGTCTTTAAGCAGCCAGGGTGGGCATTGAGGCTGAGCAGAACTGTAGTGATAGCCTGCTGTGCATAGGCATGTAGTTTGCACCTATTTCTGCATGTGTACATTGTTTAAATAGTAGGCACATATTTGTATACGTGTACATACGGTGTTATCATGATACATATATATTTTCATAATATGTGCACTATACATATGTACCTAATACATACCTAATGTGTACAATACGTACCTTTTGGTGATATTACACGACATATATGTATTAGTGTGATTATATATCTTACTGTGATTATATATATTTTATCACTGATATTTTAAGGAATGTGCATAGTGCACACATTATGGACCTATGCATTGTGTACACATTATAGAAATATATAGGTACATATTTTACAGATTATGTACATTTTTTGTACATGTGCATTGTGTACACCTATGTACAGCAGAGTACATGTACAGATTGTGCCTATTTAATACATTTATCACAATACGACAATAAATGTACACACTATGACTACATTCTGGGATTTTATATTTAGTATATATTAGATAGAAATCTCTCCGGTTACCAAAGTGGGTATACACCTATATGTGTACCTAGTATATACGTGTACATATTGTACATACTGTGTACTCCTGTACAGAAGGTACATATCTTCATTATATGAACATATGTGTAGTGTACATATGTACATACTGTGCACTTACGTACACGTGTATATACCGCAAATCTGCACGTGTGCATGATGTACATGTGTACATATCGTAATATCACAATAAATGTAAATGTATATAATGTGTGCAATATGTACATTTATATTGATATCATGTATTATATGTGTATTGTGATTATATATGCTGTTGTGATTATATGAAATCATTGTATTACAATATATTTACATATTGTACACATTATGTACATACCTACTGTGTACACATTATGTACATATAAATGTAATATTGTACAGATTATGTACATTTTTTGTACATCTGTATTGTGTACACATATGTACATCACAGTCAATGTACATAAGTTTTGTACGTTGATTGTAATATCCCAATAAGTGTACACATTATGAGTATATTCTGGGATATGATTTATAGTATATAAGAAAAAAGTTACTTCCAATATCAATGTGGGTATACTCGCATGTGTGTCCATTTTGCTGTACCTTCTATTAATCTTTGCCATTGAACATGATAGTGAGAGGTGGTTCTTTTCTCTAACAAGGTTTTCTGTTAATATAACTCAACTCTACTACCTTGTGGCCTCTGTATCTTCCATTGTAAATTGTAATTACCTATAAAAGAGAATATTTTGACATCACGTATCTACCTCTTGGATCCATCAGCCAGAGGCCTAAAATAAAAAAGACATTCACCCCACGAATGGTTATATAGTGGTTGACAACCCCACTTTCTTCTAGGTAAATAATATCCTCTCTTTAACAGTAGCTACTTACAAGATTTGTGCATAAAGAATGTGACTTTTTTATCAGTATCTAGTTTATTCTTACATAAATTTCTAAAATAGAGAGAATATTCTGATCATTGGTTATATACTATTTTAATTTAATTTTTTCCTCTCAAATTTTATCTTAACTGCATACTCTACCCTGTTTATAAGACTGCCCTATGGTTAAATTTAGTAGGTAGTAAATTATCCTGGGCACACAGAACAATTCTTTTTGTAATCAACTCTGAAACATCATTGAAAGAGCAAGGATATGGGAATGAGATTTATCTGGCTTTTATTTCTGGTACTTACTTGCTCTCTGACCTTGGGCAACTTATGTATTGCTCTGAGTCTCATCTTCTTCATCTGTAAAATGATCATAGTAATACCTAATTCATATGCAGCTTGGAAATGTGTAATTTAGTGATTGATATAAAGTTCCTGATACAATTTCTGACAAAATAATAGACACCCCACGAGAGATAACCATAACAATCAGAGTTTATATTCACATTAACTGGGATAAAATTGATCTGAAAATACAGCATAAAAAAGCAGCCAAAAATTCATATTTCGCTTGCCTTTTTATACAGAGCTGGAAAATTTCTCATCATTATCTCATCCATTGCCTGCAGCACGATCCTTCCAAAACTCCTCCTAAGACCGTCTGCCAAGGTGGAACACACTGAACCGCATGTGACTCTGCCTTTTCTGACTATTTTTGCAAGATTTTTCTCATAGAGTATTATTAACAGAAAATGGGGCTGTTATCAAGGTGACTAGGAATGGTGCATTCTCAGTTCAGGCTCTGATGGAATGTCTACTTGATCTGGTGCAACTCCAGCTGTGCTCTTGGCTTTCCTCACTTTTGTGGTTCCGAGAATGCAAATATTCTCCCATGGCTTCCTTATTTTGTCTTTCTCCATGAGGTCTCATTCAAGTATAAACATTCCCTTCAATTTTCTCAACTCATTTTATATTGTCTGAATAACCTTGATAATTTTCCCTTTCCTAAAGCTATAGACCTTCTTTTTGTGTGTAAGAACAGATTACTCACAAATGTTTCGCTAAACATTTATGTGTAATCGGTCCTTAATTCTACACACAAAATATCATCTCTACCAACATTTTACAACTATAGTCTTTCTATAGAGAACTATGAAAGGAACTTGCTCTAAAGGAGAAACTTCCAGAGCTAAACCAAGGGTCTGACAATTGTTAACAATATGTTATTCAGTAAAAATATTTTTTCAGTTAACAGAGAAGAATGCCATGGACAAAATGGCAAAACAGAACTTTTCAGCACTTATTCCTTCACAGAAACATCAATTTGAACAGCCATCCGTGCATCAAAGTGTCTTCAAAAGAGACAAGGAATCCAGGTGAGAGGTTATAGCACGTTTGTGGAGTAGAAAAGTAAGAAAAACGGCATAAAATAGAGTATAAAAGAGAGTTTTCTATTATCTGCATTACCCCGCCCCTAAACCTGGGTAGTGCAGCATGGAAAGAGATACCATGTATGTGCAGAGAGGAGAGTAAATGTAACACCTGACTTCAACATCCAATGCCAGGCACAATTCAGTGAACTCAACACCAGGCAGGTTTCTATAGCCACAGGCTATGGGACAGACCCTGTCAACCCAAGCTCCAGGCCTTCCCCTATGGCTCTAAGATCTAATGCCTCCAACCTCCATGGCTCCTATCGACATAGGCTCCAGGCCTTCGCCACAACCAGGCCATTTATGGCTTCCCCAGGCTCCACACTGGTTACTATAGACTCGTAAGTGCCTGGATAAACAAACCTCTACATCGACACAGTGGAATATTATTCAGCAATGAAAGCAATCATCTTTGAATGTGGCTTTTGTTGCAGAAAAAAAGCACGTGAGCTATGAAGCCATTAAAAGACATAGAGGAAACTCAAATACATACTACTAAGTGAAAGAAACCAATCTCAAATGACCACTTACTATATGAATCCAACTATATGACATTCTGGAAAAGGCAAAACTATAGAGACATCAAAACGTTCAGTGATTGCTGGGGGTTGAAAAGTGGGGAAGAAGGATAAATGGGCAGAGCATAGAGGATGTTTAGGGCAATGAAACTACTCTGTGTGTTACTATAATGGTAGACACATGCCATTACACCCTTGTCAAAACTCACTGAATATACGACAGCAAGAATGGTCCCTAATGTCAATTATAAACTATGGGTGACAGTGATAAGTCAATGTTGGTTCATCCATTGTAACAAATGTACCTCTCTAGTGAGGAAGGCTGATAGTGGAGGAGGCTGTGCATTTGGGGAGGTGGGAATGTAGGAACTCTCTGTACTTTCCACTATGCCTCACTATTAACTTTACACTGCTCTAAAAATAAAGCGTATTTTAAAAAAGATTGAGCTGTTGATATAAGCCCAATGTCTACTTTGACGTCCAGAAATGTTTCTTTTAAAACGCTAATACACCACTTCCTGGAAGAAAATATTTGTTAACAAATTCTTTTCTAGAACAATTATTTTTGTGGGTGTTCCTGTCACAACTATACATAAAAATCATGCAGCAACATCTTGATACTCTAAAAACACAATACCAAAAACGTTAAGAAAATCATTTCTAAATTTGATCTAAGCCAAAATGTGGAGAAGCAAAAGGGAAGAAAATTATTTCTGTATAATGAGATTATAGGTTGTTTCTCCGAACTCCTCTACAGTTTTCAGTATTTTCCAACTTCTATCATGGAGATATATAAATATAGAAGTAGATATGTAGATATATACTCATTAGATATATATTTATATATAATAAACAAACAGATACCGTTTTTATTTTTATTATTTATTTATTTATTTATTTTTTGAGACGGAGTTTCGCTCTTGTTTCCCAGGCTGGAGTGCAATGGCGCGATCTTGGCTCACCACAACCTCCACCTCCTGGGTTCAGGCAATTCTCCTGCCTCAGCCTCCTGAGTAGCTGGGATTACAGGCACGCGCCACCAAGCCCAGCTAATTTTTTGTATTTTTAGTAGAGACGGGGTTTCACCATGTTGACCAGGATGGTCTCGATCTCTTGACCTCGTGATCCACCCGCCTCGGCCTCCCAAAGTGCTGGGATTACAGGCTTGAGCCACTGCGCCCGGCCTACAGATACCATTTTTAAAAGATATATTTATGTATTTTATATATTTATATAATATATACATGTTCATATATACATCATGTTATCACCATTATGGATATAAAGAAGGACATTAAAATAGTGAAAAGATTAAAATAAAATGTACCAAAATGGAAACAGTGATTTAACTCTGCCTAGCTTTATGTGATTAAACAAGGTATTTTTCAAATCTATTTTTCTTTGCTTTCTAGAGGCTTTATAATAAATCTATATTTTTATATTTAAAAGCCTAATTTTTATTAAACAAATAAAATTCAGCAACACTGTCTTTAGAACATTTTTTAAATCAACTTGAGCATGAAGAAAATGTTATGACTATGGTGGTGAGCATTTTGAAAGATTAGCAGAAGCAGGGATAATGTGACACTTAGCTGATCTTCAAGGGAAGCTAGACAAATGACACTTTTCGAAAAGAAAATAGTAACTAGTGTTGAAACATGGTATCGCCAGTATGATTAAGAAGGAAAGTGTCAACTTCTTCTGTGGAAAATCCTAACATTACCAAACGTAAGAAGGCAAATACTTCAACAACAGAAATGAAAAAGATCTTGATTCATTTATTTAACACTTTTTTAGAGTTTAATCCCAAAAAGTCTATTTTGAAGAAAAGAAAAAATCTTACTCGTGTATATTACCCTTTGCAGTGAACTGGCCAAATAAGTCTATCCAAGGTACGTTGAATACCGAGCATGCTGGAAACATTTTTATTGACATCATCTCTAATCCCTACAACAATAGTGCAAGGAAAGGTTTAACATCTTCTTTTTACAGAGAGGAAAGCTGAGGCTCAAAGAGGTATAGTAGCTCATTTAACATTACACATCTAATACGTGGTGGAGGTGGGACCTATACTTACATCTGTCAGACCTTAATGTTCTTCTTTCTACCTCTCTGCCTCAGTCCAACAATTGGGATCTTTGCCATGATGCCTCACGAGTTCACGAGGCACTTTTCAGGAAGTTTTTGACTCAGACTTTATCACTCAGCAAGATACCTCAACTAATTTACAAAATGTGACTTGAAAAGCAGGTTGTAATTCCAAAAGCAAAAATCCAACCACAAAAGATAAAGTCTTAATCAGTAGAGCTTTACAGAAGGAAGTAATGTAGGTAGTAAGGGCACTTTCGGAAATGTCTGGAATCAGAGGAGTCGATGTATCACCTGTTAGAAATTGTACTCGCTTGGTAGCAAAATTTTCCTTGTGTTCACTTAAAATAATAGTCTTGTTGTTTTAAAACCAACGCACAGTCAGAGGGTGACTTGGATGTTTATTTTTTATTCTCTTTGCCTTCTTGTTTTAAGAATGGATTTTTCCTAAATTCTAATTATTATTGTAACTTACATAAGTGCAGCCGATTTTGCTTTAAAACTACATTTAAGTAGCTTTGTCTGGATTATCAAAACCAGGCCCTGAAGAAGTGAGTTCCTAAAGGGTAGGAACTTTGCTTATGTCTATATCTCAGTTGTGTTAAACAGAATAACTGGCGCAAATTAGCAAATGATGCACTGAGGAATCATAGAACAAAAGACTTTATGAAGAACTAAGTTTCAGATTCAGGGTGACGCTAAGGAGCTAGTGTACCAGAGGATGGTATGCCTTCTGCAATCACAAAAGCAGCATTCAGTCTGATCTGGGCTCTAAGAAGTGCTCCTTGAGACCTGACATTTTATCCTAACACTGCCACTAACAGGTTAAGTCAGAAAGAGTTCACTTCCCAGAGCTTTCGATTTCTGGTTTCCAAATCAGCACAATGAGAAACTGAAAAGAAGGAAAGAGGAAAAAAAGAGAGGGTCAGAGATCCCTCCTGCTTGTACAATGCCATGATTTGGACACAGGGTTTGGGCAACCATGTTCCTGCCTGTCGTCTCTTGTCAGACAGCTCATGAGCCACGAATGTGAAAGAATTCAAAAAAGTAACAATATCTTGGGACATGTCAACAATTATATAAAATGCAATTTTCAGTTCTCATAAAAGTACTTTGGAACTCAGCCCCACTCCTTTATTACCCATTTCTATGGCTGCTTTCACACCACAACCGCAGAGATAAGTAGCTGTGACAGAGACCATATGGGCTGCCAAGCCTAAAATATTTACTGCCTAGACCTTTCCAGAAAAAAAAAAAGGATTGCTGATCTGTTACACAGACAATCAAGCAAGCGATCACCTGAGAACATTAAAATCTGTGTCTAGGACAAATGGGGCCTATATAAACTAGGGAATAATCTTCCCCACTACTTATGCAAGAACATTCACCCTTGAGAGAGCAGGCTACATGGCTTGGCAGCACTACTGCCACCAGTCCAGACTTCCCCTCACCTGTGCCCTATAAGTGACCAGCATTTCTGTGGAGCAGCGGGGTGCATTCTCATGGCTGGCCCCACACCTTCCCTTCCTCCTGCTTCCTCACATTCTATTTTCTGAGTGGTTGTCAAAGGAACGCTGAATTTTGCTGTCACTTTTTCAGACCCCAATTCCACTTATGACAGTCTTGGTACCAGGAAGCATTCCGAGCTCCTATCTCATCACCACAACCGCCTGCTTCTCACTTAGTCCAGACGAGCTTGCCACAGTGCACTTGCTTTTTAATCGCCCTCTCTCTTCTTGCCTTCACCTCCTCTCCCTCCCTCTCTCCCTGGCTCTTTCTGTCACACGGGTGTGTGCACATACACAAGTTCCGATTAGATAAAAGAAGAAACACTTTTTAAGTTTCTTTCTAGGCCTAATAGAAAATTCTTTTTTTTTTTTTTTTTTTTTACAAAACAGAGCTGTTTTTTTCCATTGCAAAAGTGTGGGTGTCCTTCCTTTTGGAGAGTAACAATCATTTTCTACATGGCCTTCTGACACATGCATGTTGTACATATGTGTGTGTGCACATGTGCATATGAGTGTTAGAGTATGTGTGTGTAGCAGGGAGGAAAGAGATGAAGGAGAGTGTGTATGTGCATGTTGGTTCATATGAGTGTGAGTGTGTGCATGAACGTGCCTGTGTGTGTGCACATGTGTATGAGCATGCTTGTATTTGCGTATGAGAATGTGCATGTGAGAGAGAAAGAAAGAATGCATGTATGTGTGAATGTGTATGTGTGTGCATAGCAGGGAAGAAGGGGATGAAGGAGAGTATGCTAAAAAGAGAACACCTCAGAACAGTCAAATAAAAGATTCCATATCAACATCATATCTTGTTAAAATACAGGATTCCCAAGTCAGTCACCTTCAAGCTGGAAGCCTGGAGTGTAAAAAGAGTGGGTGTTCTTCTCTGACAACTTATTGTCTAAGACAATTTTATGATCAAAAATATATTCGAATAAAAGTACCTGAGAAAAGTACATAAAGAGAATATAATGTTAACAATGGTTTTCTTTGGGTGAGAGGAAGAAGAGGCAGGTTGTGGTTGATCTGTTTCTTTTAGTTCAACTATTCTGCATTCCTCACTTTTAAATTTTGGATATTAAGCTGGAGAGAAAGAACATGAATATAAAGATGAATTCGCTGAATGGAGCAACGAATGCTGAGTTAGCCAAAAATGTATGGCTACCTTCTATATCTAATTATCTGAGGGCAAATCAGAAAACACCACTTTCAGAAAATTTTTTTTTTTTTTTAGAAATGAAGTTTCGCTCTTGTTGCCCAAGCTGGAGTGCAACTGGCACAATCTCGGCTCACCGCAGCCTCCGCCTTTTGGGTTCAGGCAATTCTCCTTCCTCAGCCTCCCGAGTAGCTGGGATTACAGGCACGCACCACCATGCCCAGCTAATTTTTTGTATTTTTAGCAGAGACAGGGTTTCACAATGTTGACCAGGATGGTCTCGATCTCTTGATCTTGTGATCCACCCACCCAAAGTGCTGGGATTACAGGCTTGAGCCACCGCGCCCAGCCAGAAATTTTTTAAAATGTGTTTTACGTTATTTTCCCTTTCAGCCTAAGGACTAAAATTGAACACAACTGGATCTGCGCCATTGCCTCAAAGATTCTTAGCCTAGTTCCAGATCCATTGTCTGGACACTCCTGCTTTTTAGACAGAAAACAGGGCTAAATTCCTATTGACTTCCAAATACACAGACCCACAGATTTGTCACAGTAGCCTCTCTCTCTCACCCTGTCTCTGTCCGTCTGAGTCTCTCTTTCTTTCTCTCTCTCTTCCCTCACATCATCCCCAAATCAGAATGCATATATAAAAATTTGATTAACTGAAACATAGAATGATCAAGATTTTACTACAAGAGAAATACACAGACTTCAGCTAAGATGTTTGGTTGAATACCTGCATATGCCTTCACTCCATCATTAAACCACATTAACACGGGATGATTAAAAATAAAAAGAAAATAAAGACAATCCCTTCAGCATATAGAAAACTGGCAAGCAGAAGCTGTCAGTGACACCTGACAGTAGACCCAGAGATGCTAAATCCCAAGCCAGTGGCAGGAAGGCAACCAGGATCCCCAACGGTTCAAGAGTTGGCAGCTAAATTTACCTAGGGAATTTATGTTTCAGTAGTAGGTAGATCCCAGATCCTCTCCCTAGAATCGGTGCCTGCATCCCACGGTGGTGGCAGGGTGGAGGTTTCCTCTCTATACAGTAAAATTTGGTGTCTCTAGGCAGGAGCTCTCTAGACACAAGTGCTTAAATGTACACACTGAACACTGAGATCCTCCAGGTTTTCCTACCACTGAGTTCCAATGAGGGTGGCAGATACACTTGGTCAGAAGTTAAGATGATTTTTCTCTAGAGAGAATCTCTCTTGCTCAAGAAGAAAAGGTCTGACCCAGCAAGACCACCACCCACAAAATGTTACAATCACAGAACTTCCTTTTAGCTTTTCAGTGCTCCATTTTTTTCTAACAGACACAGACAGCTAAGGGTCACCAGGCATCTGAGCAAAGCTTCTAACATGAATGGCCGAGACCAGAGCAAGAAGACACATAAATGCAGCCTGAATGAGGACTGTGCTAGGAGATAAGACCTTCTGAAACCCATATGAATGTTCACGAAGAGATAAAAGTGTTACCATTTTCATGAAACAAGAACCAAATTTAAAGAAAAAGTAAACGCTTAGAAATTAAAAATATGACAGCAGAACTTGTGAAAAATTCTTGTTAGAATAGTAAGACAACAAAGTTGAGTAGATGAACCTTATGTCTTCCAGAAATAGCGATAAGAAAAAAGTTGAAATCCGGAAGAAAATTTGAACAGGTTCAACACTAAAATGATCAGAATTCCAAAGACAGAAATAGAGACAGACAGAGAGAGAGAAAAAAGAACAGACACACGCAGCAAATAAGAAAGAGAGAGATAAACCCTAAAATTGCTGGAGACTACAACACCCAACTTTCAGCACTGGACAGATCTTCCAGACAGAAAACCAACCAATCAACATGAAATTTAATCTTTACTACAGACCAAATGGAACTGATATTCAAGGAACATTTCATCCAATGACTGCAGAATACACATTTTTTCAACTCAACACATAGATCATTCATAAGTATAGAAGATACCTTAGGTCACAAAGCAAATGCAATCACATTTGAAATCAGGACTAAGAAATTCATTCAAAACCATACACTTACATGGAAACTGAGTAACTTGCTCCTGAATGACTCCTGGGTAAATAATGACATTAAGGCAGAAATCAAGAAGTTTAAGAAGTTCTTTGAAAGTAATGAGAACAAAGGTACAACTTACCAGAGTTTCTGGGATGCAGCTAGTCAAGTAGTGTTGAGAGAAATTTATAGTACTAAATGCTCACATCGAGAAGTGAGAACTCGGGACAGCTGCGGTGACTCACTTTTGGAGGCCAAGGCGGGCAGATTACAAGGTCAGGAGTTTGAGACCAGCCTGACCAACATGGTGAAACCCCATTCTACTAAAAATACAAAAATTAGCTGGTGTTGTGGCACATACCTGTAATCCCAGGTACTCAGGAGGCTGAGGCAGGAGAACTGCTTGAACCCAGGAGATAAATGTTGCAGTGAGCCCATATCACACCACTGCACTCCAGCCTGGTTGAGAGAACAACACTCCATCTCAAAAACAAAATTGAGATCTCAAGTTAACTACCCAACATCACAATTAAAAGAATTAGAAACCCAAGAGCAAAGAACACCCTCAAAGCTATGCTGAATGGGAGTGGGGAGAGAGGGCATCTTTATCTTGTGCCAATTTTTAAGGGGAATGCTTTCAGCTTTTGTCCATTCAGTATGATGCTGGCTGTGGTTTTGTCACATGTGGCTCTTATTATTTTGAGGTATGTTCCTTCAATACCTGGTTTATCACACATGAAAGTTGAATTTTATCAAAAGCTGTTTTTGCATCCATTGAGATAATCATGTGGGTAATTTTTTTCTTTAGTTCTGTTTATGTGACGATGACATTGATCAATTTGCATATGTTAAACCAAACTTGCATCTCAGGGAGGGTGGTTGTGACCAGGAATTGATCAGTTTCTTCTAGATTTCTCAATTTTTTCAGGTTCAGTGGCTCACATCTGCAATCCCAGAACTTTGGGAGGTCAAGGTGGGTTGATCACCTGAGATTGGGAGTTCAAGACAAGCTGGATCAACATGGAGAAACCCCATGTCTACTAAAAATACACAATTAACCAGACATGGTGGCACATGCATGTCATCCCAGCTACTCAGGAAGCTGAGGCAGGAGAATAGCTTGAACTCAGGAGGCAGAGGTTGCACTAAGCCGAGATCTCACCATTGTCCTCCAGCCTGAGCAACAAGCACAAAACTTCATCTCAAAATTAAAGAAAAAATAGTGCCTACGTTGTACATCATATTCTCTGAGGGTGGTTTGTATTTCTGTGGGGTCAGTGGTAATATTGCCCTTATTGTTTTTGATGGTGGTTATTTGAATCTCTTCCCTTTCTCCTTCATTGGTCTAGCTTCAAGTTTATTATTTTTTAACCAGTATGATTTTAATAGACCAGTTACTGGGTAGTAAATTGAAACATACAGAGTGCCATCTCCAAGAGCAGTCATGATTTCATTTGGGTTCTTGAAAAATGTTAAGAAGTAGGTTGAGTTTTATTATTTTTTTCAGAAAACCAGCTTTTGAAAAATTTATGTGGAACCAAAAACAGCCAAGGCAACCCTAAGCAAGAAGAGCAAAGCTGGAAGCGACACGCTACCAGACTTCAAACTGCATTACAGGGCTACAGGAAACAACGGCATAGTACTGGTACAAACACAAACACATAGACTAATGGAACAGAATAGAGAATCCAGAAACAAAACCAAGCTTCTACAACTATCTGAAACTTAACAAAAACAAGCAAGGGGGAAAAGATTCTCCCTATTCAATAAACGATGCCAGGATAACTGGATAGCCATATGCAAAAGACTGAAACTAGACCCCTTCTTTACATTACATACAAAAATTTGCTCAAGATAGATTAAACACTGATATGTAAAACCAAAAACTATAAAAGCTCTGCAAGACACGAGACAATGCCATTCAAAACATAAGCACAGGCAAAGATTTCATCATGAACATGCCAAAAGAAAAGGTAACAAAAGCAAAATTGAAAACTGGGGTCAAATTAAAATGAGAAACTTTCACACAGCAAAATAAACTATCAACAGAGAAAACTGACAACCTACAGAATGTGAGAAAATGTTTGTAAACTATGCATTCCACAAAAATCTAATATCAAACATCGGTAGGGAAATTCAATTTACAAGAGGAAACAACAACCCATAAAAAGGTGGGCAAAGAACATAAACAGACACTTTTAAAACAAGACATATATGACAAGCAATCATATTAAAAAAGCTCAACGTCACTGATTATTAGAGAAATGCAAATGAAAATTATAATAAGATACCATCTCACACCAGTCATAATGGCAATTATTAAAGCAAAAAAAAAAAAAACACATACTGGCAAGGTTAGAGAGAAAAACAACACTTACACACTGTATTCGGGAATGCAAATTAGTTCTGCCATTGTGAAAAAGTGTCATGATTCCTCAAAGACCTAAAGAGTGAAATACCATTTGATTCAGCAAACCTAGTAATGGGTTACTAGGTATGTACCCAAAGGAATATAAATCCTTCTGTTATAGAGACATGTGCACGCATATGTCCATGGCAGCACTGTTCACAATAGCAAAAATATGGAATCAAGCTAAATGCCCATCAATGGTAGACTGGATAAAGAAAATGTGGTACATATACAACAAAAAACACTAGGCAGCCACAAAAGAATGCGATCATGTTCTCTTCAGGGACATAGATGAAGCTGGAATTCTTAGCAAACTAACGCAGGAACACAAAATCCAAATACCAGATATTTTCACTTGCAAGTGGGAGCTAAATGAGGAGAACACAGGAACATACAACAGGCGGAAGAACAACACACACTAGAGCCTTTCAGAGAGTGGAGAATGAGAGAAGGAAGAAGATCAGGAAAAACAACTAAATGGGACTAGGCTTAATACCGGAGTAATGAAATGATCTGTACAACAAACCTCATGACAGACTTTACCTAAATAACAAACCTGTGCTTGAACCTTTGGACTTAAATAAAAGTTAAAAAAAAGGCAACTTCTCAAGTTGAATAACATAACCTCCTAGGTTTAAACACATGAACACAAACTCACACCAAGGAACATTGTCTTGAAAATCTGCAATATATGACAAAGGAAAACAGCTCTCCTAAGTTTTCAGAAAAGTTTTTTAAAAAACAGTATTTACAAAGAATCAAAAATCAGAATGATTTCAGGCTTCTCAACAGCACAGCTGGGAAATAATGGAGTAGTATCTTTAAAACTTGAATGGGAAATTATTTTCAATCAAAAATTCTATGCCCCACCAGTCATGTAAGTGTAAGAAGAAATAAAGTCATATTTCAGAACAATTTGCTTCAGTGTATCCTTGCTTGAATAAGTTACTGGAGGATACAGTCCACAAACAAGAGATTCAGGGCACGGGGCAGTGCAAAACAACAGAGTGGGTTTGTATTTGTATTGAAAAGACAGCAGCATTCGAGAGTTAGGGAATACTGGAGGAGGAGTTTTCTCCAGCATCCCTGGAGCCCACACCTCTCATTTCCACATTCCTACTGTCCCATTGCTGCCCATGAATTCTGATCACCTATTCCTTTGATAGAGGTATTTCTCTCACCGATTAGCTGTAGTCAAGTGGCTCTTTCTTGGGCTACAGGAGGAAATCTATTGCTTTTCATTAAACATCAATTGGATTAACCTAGGCTTAAGGTCAGCATTATGCCCGTTCTTGGGAAGACATCTACTCACAAACTGGTTAAAGAACGTGGCCCTCCTACCTCTGACTTGTGTGATTCTAAGCAAGCTATTTAGCACCCTCTCATCTGTGAAACAAACATAAAGTTCTTATCTTGGGCTCCACAAACAGAAAGTGTTGAACAAGAACAGTTTCTTCTCCTCCAAGGCCAGACCATATGGAGGACCCTAAGACAGCCACAGCCTTGGTCAGTAGGACAAACACAGGGTTCAAATTGCACCATTAAAACTGTGGCCAAACGTTTGCTCTGCCTCTGAGTCACTCACTGTCATAAGGCTCTACCGGTTCCCATTCCAGATAGAAAGTGGGCTTTTGTTGGTTTTTGTTGTGTTTTTCAAGAGATGGAGTCACCCAGGCTGGAGTACAGTGGCATGACCATAGCTCACTGCAGCCCCAAACTCCTGAGCTCAAGTGACCTTTCTGCCATGGCCTCCTGACAGAAGCTGGGCCAACAGGGCATCCCCACACCCAGTAATTTTTTTTTTGAGAGATGGGGTACCGCTATGTTGCCCAGACTGCTCTCAAATTCCTGGCCTGAAGCAATTTTCCCATATTAGCCTCCTAAATTTCTAGGATTACAGGTGTGAGCCACTGTGCCCAACAGGTGTTCTTAAGTGCAATTTCCACACTGCTATTCTGAAGAAGGGCAAGAAGCAAAGAGACCCTCCTTGAAACATAGAAAATAAAAGCATTCACTATTAAGTGGAGGCAGAGTTGATGATCAGCCAAAACTACTTCAACTGTAATCCAGAAGTCCCATTGATACAGGAGTTCTAAAGAAATTATTTCGTCAGAGATTGAAAGTAAGGAAGTCTTTGGTAAGGTTTCCCTTTGAATAAAAAGCAGCCCCAAAACCATTTCTAACAAAGAGCGGCCTGTAAAATCGAGCTGCAGATATAGACAAGCGAGCTGGAAGCTTGCACAGGCGAATGCCAGCAGCTGTAACAATTTGGGTGCCAGGCATGCTCAACCTGACGGCTTTATCTTCCTTTTTCTTTATCAACCACAAGTGCAGTAAGGGACAGACAACATGCACTGGCCAAGTAGAAAACCTATATGCATAAGAAGATTCGGGTGGATAGCCAGCCTTCTTCACGAGCTATGTAAAGCTCTCACCTGGTCCAACCCATATTTGGACCCTATGTAAATCAAACACCACCTCCTCAACAAGTCTATAAAACCTTGTGCAGTTCACCAGAAAACACACTCAGAAGCCCTCTCTCTCTCTGCAGAAGAGAGAGATGTTCTCTTTTCCTCTTTTGCCTGTAAAACCTCCATTCTTAACCTCACTCCATGTGTATTCACGTCCTTGATTTTCTTGACATGAGGCAATGTACCTTGGGTATTACCTCAGATGGACAATGCTGCTTCATCATAGTTCTGTTTTGTTCAGGTTGTGGGACAAACGGCTCCTTTCCTCTGCAACCTCAGCTCAACCTTACTCACCTTCCAGCAGAATCACAGAGCCAAATGAAACCCCTTAAGTCTTCTTTTAAATGGGCAGCCGCTCCAAAGAAAGCAGCATGATGAGTTTCAGGTGGCACGGGGTGGGGGCAGTGCTACTCGGGCTTCTCCGTGCTCAGTCCCTCTCAGTTCAAAAGCGCACCACGTGGAGCAATAGAACACCTGCTCATCTGAGTTTTAAAAATAGTGGGAGGAAAAGCGCTGTCTTCATGCTTATTTCCCTGGCAGAGGGGAGGTCATAAAACACTAATTTCTAAGCAGTGGACCAGAGTTTTACTGATCTCTTCTGTTACTGACTCATGTTTACCCAGAGAAACCACATCACAAATCTGAGTCTCCTCTGGCAAGAGAAGGAATCGGATTCATGATTCTCTCAGCCCCCTTTCCACAGTAGAGTTCTGACTCCACTTCTAAAATACTTTTCTGCAAGCCTCTGTACCTCATAAATGTTTTACTATACTCGAGACAGCAAAGGGAAGCAAGATTAGCTACTGTTTTCAGAACAGTGGAAACATGCTGTCTTCTCCAAGTTTGGCATTGGAGTCAAAGATCAAGCGCCAAACAGTAGTTGTCAAGAATCCTTTCATTTACAATCAGGTTCTAGACTTTTCAAATGGTGTGGGCAAGAACCCGTTTTGCCAGAATAGGTTATTATCTACCTCTTACCTTTATAGGACAGGACTAAAAATTCTCTTTTTAAGACAGAGTCTTGCTCTGTTCCCGAGGCTGGAGTGCAGTGGTCATGATCTCGGCTCACTACAACTTCTGCCTCTCAGGTTGAAGTGATTTTCCTGCCTAAGCCTCCTGAGTAGCTGGAATTACAGGGGCCCACCACTACACTCAGCTAATTTTTGAATTTTTAGTAGAGACAGGGTCTCCCCATGTTTGCCAGGGTAGTCTCCAAAGCCTGACCTTATGATCTGCCTACCTGAGCTGCCCAAAGTACTGGAATTACAGATGTGAGCCACCACGACTTTTGAAAGGGTTGTGTGTTTTTGTTTTAATTACACTGAAGACTTTTGAAAGGGTTGTGTGTTGTATGAACTCCCTCCTCACCCAATTCTCATGGATGGGAAAAGGCTGCTGCTTCATTTTAAAGCTAATGAGCTGCCTGAACAGGAACTTTTTTTTTTTTTTTTTTATTGGATTATAGGTTTTGTGGTACATGAGCAGAGCATGCAAGACAGTTGCGTAGGTACACACATGGCAGTGTGCTTTGCTTTTCTTCTCCCCTTCACCCACATTTGGCATTTCTCCCCAGGCTATCCCTCCCCACCTCCCCCTCCCACTGGCCCTCCCCTTTTCCCCCCAATAGACCCCAGTGTTTAGTACTCCCCTTTCTGTGTCCATGTGTTCTCATTTTCATCACCCACCTATGAGTGAGAATATGCGGTGTTTCATTTTCTGTTCTTGTGTCAGTTTGCTGAGGATGATGTTTTCCAGATTCATCCATGTCCCTACAAACGACACGAACTCATCATTTCTGATTGCTGCATAATATTCCATGGTGTATATGTGCCACATTTTTCCAATCCAGTCTATTATCAATGGGCATTTGGGTTGATTCCAGGTCTTTGCTATTGTAAACAGTGCTGCAATGAACATTCGTGTACATGTGTCCTTATAGTAGAACGATTTATAGTCTTTTGGATATATACCCAGTAATGGGATTGCTGGGTCAAATGGAATTTCTATTCTAAGGCCTTGAGGAATCGCCACACTGTCTTCCACAATGGTTGAACTAATTTACACTCCCACCAACAGTGTAAAAGTGTTCCTTTGTCTCCACATCCTCTCCAGCATCTGTTGTCTCCAGATTTTTTAATGATCGCCATTCTAACTGGCGTGAGATGGTATCTCAATGTGGTTTTGATTTGCATCTCTCTGTTGACCAGTGACGATGAGCATTTTTTCATATGCTTGTTGGCCTCATATATGTCTTCTTTCGGTAAGTATCTGTTCATATCCTTTGCCCACATTTGAATGGGCTTGTTTGTTTTTTTCCTGTAAATCTGCTTGAGTTGTTTGTAAATTCTGGATATCAGCCCTTTGTCAGATAATTAACCATTCAAACCGATTAGCTCACGTCCCTGAAGGCTGGAGAACACGGGAACTGCTATCCCATCTGAATACAATCCAAAGGCAAAAGGCTGTGGCCAAGTTGAAATAATGGGGCAGATAGAAGCGATAAAGACTGGAGCTGGGAGTGGCCCGTACTTCAAGTTAAGCCAAACAAAGGTGTTTGCATGTTTTATATGGGTCAAATAGGAATTCCATAATAGAGAAAACCATTGATTTTAAGGAGGACGCTGCCCTGAAAAGCTTCCTGCCAGGGGTAAGGAAGAGGCTGCCCAGGACCCCCAGAGGCAGGTGGTAGGAGGGCTCTTAGTGGCTTCCTAGAAACTGTATTACCTGAGGTAGTGAATCCCTACCAGGAGAATTTCTCAGGAACGCATGAGAAAGGGCCCAAAACTGCATGCCTGCTCCTAAAATGT